ATCCGTGATTTTCCAATGTGCATATTGAAAGATTGAAGGATATTGAAACTGTTGCAGTCTTCAAGTAGCTGGTGGATTTTGTGCTGAACTTATGGCCTATTGGTGCTTTCATGCATCAGTACAATTCGGCCAATAGTGTGCTCAGTGTCGCGCAGTCAATCCAAATATATACATTGTTCATACACGCGCGTTTTGTCGTGTGTCTATGCTTAAAAATTCAGCTCCTTCTTTAGTGGGCTCCAGTGCAATGTGCGAAGTCGCAAATGATTTAAATTAGTGCGATCACTAGCCTTGACATTGGAGGCTCTTTGGATGGCCTTCTCTTCGCCTGGTATGTATCATCTTTGTTGAGCCAGCTGCGTTTTTGGGCACCAGCCTCCGCTTGCCTACTCCTCGATCCCCTCTTGGCGATCCCGGTGAACCACATCGTCCAAAAGCCCCGAGAATCCCAAAAAGGCTGTGCTCAGCGGGAGTGACAGGGACCAGTGACCAGTGCCTCAATGATTTCTGCAACATACTGCATGCCAAAAATCAGTTGCAAAATAACAGTACCAAAACATGCCAAAACATTTCTGCAACATACCTAAAGACCTTAGCCAATGCTCGGATGCATAATATGCCCCAAAACATCGTCCCACAATTCTTAGGGTCAAAAACGCTTGTGAGCGTCTTTCCTTCCCAGCCAGAGTGGATGATAAACACATGTGAATTTAGTAAGGGCCTGATTGGCCTGATGTCCAAAAACAATGATGATCCCCCTTGCCATTGAAAAATAATTGAATAATTGGAATGGGTCCACTGAAAAACTTGAAAGGCCTGGGGCCCCTTGTGTAAACCAATTCCTGAGCCATCCCTTTCGAACTCTGTTGAATCTGTTCCTAGAACCCATCTCCAAGTGAGGCTAATCATCTGGAACGCATCAGTTCACCAGCCAAACCCACCTCGAACAACCTAAGCCGACCTATGCACCTGCCCCATTCAAAAAGGAACAACCACTAGACCAGACTCTTAATTGCACATATGTTGTGTTGTTGTGTTTCCTGTCAACTCACATTCATCTGGCCCACCCAGCTGGCCCGTCCTAGGCTCTCGGGCCCCAGGTCTATTCACCGTCTTCACTGACGCCCGCCGCAGTCCCGGCGCACCGGAACCGGCGATGCCGGGTGCTGGCGGAGCCGGGCGGGCCCAGTGGGTCGATCCGTTGGTTCTTCGACCGGCAATGATCCGATTGCTCTGCCAAAAGACACCCCGCAAAACAGGAGAGAAACTGCGAGAAAGGGACGTACATATATATACATACACAGAGAGAGACATGGAGAGAGAGAGAGAGAGAAAGAGAGAAGCAAACACCAACATGTAAAGAACTGCAGAGGAACAATTAAACAAAAGAAGGGACAAACATGGGGTGAAATTGGGGGAGAGGGGGCTGGCAAATCCTTGCAAACTTGCAACCTGTGGTTCTTGCACCTTGACCTCCTGAAAAAAGGACCGCAAACAAGCATCCGTTTTTCACAGTCCGATGCCTCCTGCTGGAGCTACAAATGCCAAGGCCATGAGTCCTGGGATTCGGCTGGTCCCAGCAACAGGGCGATTGTTGAAAAGCACTTAAATCCGGGCGGTCCGGGCCGGGCGGAAAGGGTTGTTAAAACTGCTTGAAGTCTAAGAGGGCAAACCATGGCCCAAGCTATTGGTGCTCGTGTGCTGGAGTACTTCCTTGAACCGAAAGATCCTTTTTGTGCTTCGAAGGTCCAGAAACGGGAATTCTTAGCTGTATGGTGGTAGAGACTTCCTCCCAACAATTTCTCGAGTGAGTTTTCCGGGTCAAACTCTTTGCTGGGCCTCCCAGGAGGGATTTGTGAAGAGTCGTTTTCCGACCAAGGCTTCGCACAACACCGGAGGCTTCGCGAATTGGTTTCGCTACTCTAACCTTCGATTGGCTTCGCCTGTGTGAAATCTTGAGCCTACACCAAAGGCTTGGCAAGCCTTCGCCAGACACAGTGTATCACAAAAACGCCTTCGCAAGCATTTGGTGAGTTAGAGTCTAAACCTATAGTCATTCCACAAACAAGCGCTGACTCAAACGGACCTCTCCAAAAATAATCCAAACATACAATTCGGACACAAACCCCATTGATGCAAAAAATATATGGTATCTGCATCCCCTTAGTGAACAGCCACATGCAATGGCAGCAAGAGAGAATTCTCTCAAACTCAACCCACGCCACTCAAGCTGAGGAGCCCTTAATGAAAAGGACTCGCTTCTAATTAAATTCTATATATTGTTTCTACTAGCAAACATTGCTCCTAGTAGTAATGCCAGGAGCCCCTAGTAGCGTCCTTGTTACTAGTAGCGATGCCCTTTGCTACTAGTAGCGTCCTTGCTCCTACCCTCCCAGTTTCTCACCGTCACCGGTGCCTGGGCCAAACACGGAGCTGACGAAGCACCCGAAGCACCCTTCTTGGAGCCGAAGCTGCGAGCATTCTCCCGTGGGTGAGTCAGCCACAAACGAAAACACTCTCGATTTCCTGGTGATACCGGGACTGATCATCCCAGCATACCTGCGATACCTGCGTTGTACCTGAGAACTTCCTCATTGGTCCCGCTAACTAGAGCAATTTCTAGCCTTTGCAGCGGTTCATTCACGGCAGTCACGCACTATGGCTTGCAGATTTGCATGATTGAAATTTGAGATTTGGAACTTCAGGACTTTGAAGCTTCATGGTTGGACTCTAGACCGCTTGACATACTTGCACCCTGGTCTTCTTAGGTTTTCACTTAGGTGGCAATCCGCAATCAGTCAGTACGCATTTTCCCGAGTCTGCGTGTGAAAAGCAAGGGCTCGGACCTAGGAGTTGAGAGGAGAATGGCTTCCATTTTGATAGAATGGTTTTCCGCTTTGAGCTATCCTTGACCCATAACTGGTGGCCAAATTCCTGCAATGGGCCCTTGGACGACAAGTGTCTTCAACATCACCTGCTGTCACACACTAGTGCGGAGTAGTTGGGAACATGCTAGTGTTCAGCAATCGTGGAAACCTGCAAAAACAACATGTTTTGGGGAACGCTGACTTCAGGTTTTGTCTATGATGATGTGTAAATATATATTTTTTTTACTTATTATATATATATACACATATCTACATATACGTGTGTATGAAGTGTAAGTTTAAATAGATCAAAATAGATCCATATTATTCTCCCTTCATGTTGGTGCCTATCATGAGTCAACACCAAACAGCCCTAACCTCGGCAGATTTTACCCTCCGCCAGGTGTAGCTGAACGCGTCGTGCGCCATGCGTCGGTCGATGACACATGCGATATGTTCGGATGCTTCGGGTGGAAAGCAGACTGGAACCACAGTAGTGAGGGTCAGAAGAAAACATGTGTCAAACACTTTTGCACAGAAAACCGGCAGAAATCCGTCCCCCAAGACAGGCTCCATGTGTGAGACCATCTCTGAGAAGCACTTCACAGGGCGACAGCGGCGACATCCAGCCTTTCTTCTCAGCACGAGCACTCAATGTCAAGCAGCAGGCGATCTCAGTGCTGATTGCAGTTCATCGATCGCTGAGCTGTTCTGCAACACCAAAAACCCACAATTTCTTTTGTTGAAGGAACTGTGAGAACACTGAAATAGACTTGGATCTTTCGGTAACAACTTGCTGTTTGTTCTTTAGCTCACTTTGCGGTGTCTGCTTCAAGAACCTCCAGGCATAAGACCACACATCTCTTTGCTTCCGAACGCTTCCGAGATCTTTCTTTCGTACCTTGAATGACCAACCCATTGGGAGTCATCCGCACGTCGTCTCGCATGTCCGCAATCGTCCAGAGTCCAAACCAAACAGCGGAAAGAGTGGCAGGCATAAGAGTCACAATCCCAATCTTACCATGGCCATATGAGTCACAAAGTTCTGTCATCCTATGTCCTTGAAGCTTCTACCAAACTCCTATGAAGGACTTTAGTGTTGCTAGTGAAAGGGGATATATATATAATTCTGCAATATTTCCATTGCTAAGCAAAGGACTTCTAGTGTTCACGGGGTCTCCCAGTCTCCCATTCGTCAAACGTTCTCACAGAACTGCTCTCTTCGCAAATCGGAGCTCAGTCAGCAGCTTCAGGTCCACTTGCCAAGCAAACTGAAAAGACCGCTCATGGTTGAGTGATTGAAGGTTTCTAATACATTTGCTCAGTGGCTGAGCCGCTGAGCCTTCTGAAGAAATGAAATCATCTCAGATTCAGTGCGGCCATCCAAATGAAAATGATAGCAACAATCATATAAATGACTGTATTGCCTTGGAAGTTCCCACACTGCCTAGAGGGTGGATAGTTTGTATGTTTACAGGAAACCAGCCAATATCGCCCACCTTTTCACTTGAGCCAAAGATCGATGGTCGAGAGGTATATTGTACATAGTATACGTGGAACACTTAATAAAAACACCCCCCGCGGCGCGAAGCGGCTTTGCCGCGGTGCACCGAAGAGGAAGTCGTTCAGTGTCCACGTATCAACCTCAGGCGGCGATGAAATCAAACCGCTCTACAACCCTCGAACTACTGCTTGCGAATGATGCATGTCGGCACGAATGTAATCAAACTCCTACTTAACAATGCAAGACGAAAGCAAAATTGAGGCAATCGATCCCTTTTCACTGACGTGGAGCATGCGACAAGTCTTCGCCTGAGCAGCTATGGCGACTGACCTCAAAAAATTGCGATAAGCAATGAGGTTTCTCACTAGAACAACGGCTGTGCCTTCCGGCACGCTCGTCTCACTGGGAACTCTTACCGTTCCATGCTCGAGAAAAGCGTACACAGATTGCACAAACCATTGAATTAAATGCAAGATGAGCTGATTGAAGGGTTTACGGCAGAGCGTTCCCGCTCGCTTCATAGGGACTTTGGATGTATCACACCAACGAATTTAATTTCCGGCGTGACCTTCCGGTCCGCATGGCGAGACGATATTCTCTGCTTCTTTCTCCCTTCTCTTCATGGCTTTTCAGCGGTTCCACCAGCCTCCCTTGGACGAGGACCACCAGTCGGAGGAAGATGACGAGGCAGCCTCACTCTGCCATGAGGATCGCCCGGAGCGGTTCCAATCCCATGAACCGGAGCCCCAGGAACCTCCCCATCCTTGGTTCCAGCTGCTCTGCCAGCCTCCTTGGTACTGGCTCTTCCCCTTGCCTTTGCCCTTGCCCTTGTTGCGACCCTTTGCTTCTGGGCAGTCGCGGGCACGATGGTCGGGTGAGCCGCACTCGTAACAGAGCTTGGCGTCCTTCCCGACTCCTTTTGAGCGAGGATCGAAGGCCGTCTTCGCGCTTTCCTTTGCAGTGGATCGCCGCTCGGTGAGCTTCACCTCTGGAAACCGTCCTGAAAAGATCGTCGTGTCGGAGTACTCGGTTCCCTCGCAGGCTCGAGCCCAATTGCGCTCGGCAAATTCCACTAAATCGCTCAGGATCTGCACGGCGTCGCCTTCCGGCACGCACTCCAGGCTTCCCCATCCCTCCACAGCAACGACAGGTTCGTTGCGTGTGCGGGCCAGCGAGCACCACATCGAAAATTGCTTCAGATTGAAGAAACGATTGTGATGACATACGAACGATTCGTCTTCGATCGACATGGCATCGTTCGGGTCCCTGGCAATGGTGGGGATAAAGCACAACTTGGAGTGGTGCTCCCTTTCTTGGTCGTCAAGGGCCCTCTTCCGCTCGAGAGCGCTTCGACCGGGGTTGGCAAAGATCGCTCGTGCAAGCCGGTGAAGAAAGGTGAGTGACCCTGACGTGAGCTGCGTTGTTGCACAGTTGTAGGCAAACAACGGGTCAACCTCCAGTCGCTTCGTCGGTCCGGGCAATCCCAGCTGCTTCGCCTTCCTGACGTAGTTGACGGCCAGTCTCTTGACTAGGCCGAACGCCGATTTGGCGCCGCGCTGCTGTTCGCCCTTGGACGTGTCTTTGACGACGTTCGCCTTGCGAAAGGATCTTGTTGAAAGCTGATCCAAAGCGACAACGGATTCGTTGAGGTTGGCCGTCTCTTCCATCCGGGCAAGTTCACTGGCCGATCGGGCGTCGGACCAGACCTGCAAGTCTTGACGACAGTAGTCGCATTTGTGCTGGCCATCAAAGTGCTTCGTCGCACACAAGGGTGATGGGCACACCCGCTTGGGGATCTGGACAATCTCATTCGCCATCAGATCTTCGTCCGTGATGTCGCGAAACTTTCCCTTGCCCTTGCCCTTCTTGCCCTTGGACTTGCCCTTTGATTCGCCCTTTCCTGCCCAGCCAGACATCTCCTCATTGATGATGATGCACACTTGTCCCAGCATAAAGCCGGTAAGCACTGGCGGCGGACCCTCCCGGGACGCTTGGCTCTTTGACCTGGCCCACCTTGACGTGCTGCTGATTCTGGCGAGCATTGTTCAGCATGTAGTTTCGGGCTTCAGCCAGCTTGCTCAGTCGGAACTGTGGATCGTCGGTGGAATGGCTCTTCATTTCTTCATGGTACATCTGTCGCATCTTGGCGTACGCCCTGTTGAACCAGACGAATTGGTTGTTCCGGGCATCGTACGCGTACATCAGTGCGGAATTCGGAACCCAGTCCAAACAGAGGATGCTTTTCCGTGTCGCGAAGACCCGGCAACCATGCTGCATCATAAGCTCTGTGTCGAATGCTAGGTAAATGGGTTGTCCGGCTCGCGTTCCCGCAAGCTTTCTCATCTGGGCCTTCCATGGCGGGCAGGTCGTGAAATAATTGTGAGCTCGGCCCGTCTTCTTTGGAAAACCACCAGGGATGAGACCGGAGGTGATGATTCCCTCCATAGCTGCGCGGTCGCACGACTATACCCTTGGTAGTGACGACAGATACTCCTGGTCAGGCACCATGTTCATCCGTGGAAGCTTGCCCTCATCGACCATTTTCGGTACATAGTCGGGGTCAAGGGAATAGACACGCTTAATGAAGTTGGCGTGTCCCAACCGGTCAGTGACCCACCGGTTGTGGCCTTGCACCGCCTTGATACCGACTGGTTCGTACGGCAGACCTTTCCAGGTCGCTCCCACAGTATTGCCTGGCAGGCGAGTCTTTAACTCGAATCTTTCGTCTTCCGAATTCTTGATCACCAGAAGCACCTCCCATTCCCTGCATTGGTTAATGCGTTTCTGGAGGCATTCCATGAGCGGCTTCCAGGGCTTACTGCCGTCCTCCTCGAAGTCCGGCGTGTCGAACCCTTTCAGTTCCTTATGGCCGCGGAGGTGGGATGTGAGCTCTTGGGAGATCCACCGAAAACGGCCCCACTCAACATCCCGGCGCGGGATTTGGCGAAGGTGCTCGGGACCTAGCCAAACCTCTTGTCCCGGAAGCTGGGCAAATTCGAGATCCTTACTGGGATCTTCGGTGTCGATTGCCCGCAAGGTGGGTTCCAGATTAGGATGCCTCACCTGCTTCGGCTGCGCCTTGGGCCGAATAGCAAGCCGCTCTGCTTCTTTCCACTTCTTGAATCGAGCGTCCCCCTCTTCCTGTTCCCCTTTCACCACGATTCGGCCGGTTTTCTCGTCGACGTAGCTCAGTTCCTCGTAGTGAGCTTTGGCCTCAGCAGCGGCCTTTTCTAGCTCTGTGAGTTCTGGCTTCGGCGAACCTTCCGGCACGCTTGGCTTCTGGGGCTTCGTGGCAGAGGGCTTTTTCTTCGGCTTTCCCTCCTCCGCGTCATCCTCACCAGTCAGGTCGATCTCCATTGGCTGGGCATCATCAGTTTGAGTCTTTTCTTCACGAGCCTGGCCCGGAGTCTCCTTGGCTTCCCCGCCCTGGGATTCCTCAGCTGGTTGATCGACGTCGTTTTGGCCTTCGGGAGCGGCTTCTTCATCCGCCATCTTCTGCTCCCCTTGGGCCTTTTCGTCGACCTCCATGGGTTCGGGCTTATCGGCCTCGCCCGTCTCTGAACCCCTCGCAGACTCGCAGACTTGAATACCACCGAGTCCGCATCATCATCGTCCCAGTCTGGTTGTTCCTCTTCGGGATGCTCAACGATCACATAGGACTTTTCGGTGCGAACATCAGCAAAGGCTTCATCATCTGCCCTTTCTTCCTCAGTCTTCGGTGGCGGAAGCGGCACCTCAACTGGCGGGATGAATGAGCTGGCATCCGGATTCTTCTTTTTCTCCTCGAGGGCCCGTTCCCACTCATCGAAGTCGAGCGTATCTCCTTCGTCTGGGACTTCCCATGGGAACTCTTCCACGAGTTCTTGGCCCCCCATGGGAGTTGGCAAGTCTGGGTACAGCTCTTTCATAATGATGCGATGCCTCTCATCGTGCTCACTTTCGTCCAATTCTTCTGCGTCGATGGGCAATCGCAACAGGTCATCCGGGGTCATCTCCTGAGCCAGCACGTGGCTGGTATCTTTCAGGCGCACGACATCCGTCTCTTCCTCTTGCAGCAACCAATTCATTATCTCTTGGTCAACTGCGTCCACAATGTCGGCCGGGCTCAATTCGATTTGATCCACGGCTCGCCTTCCGGCAAGCATCAAGTCAGCTGCAGCTCGAACTTCCGAGATTATAGGGTACCTGAACATGAACTCCATCAACTGTAAATCTCCCTCGCCTTCACCGGCGTTCAGGATGGTCAACGGTTCAATCTCGTCCTTGTACTGCATCACTTGGAAGGTCCGAAATGCGCTGGTAGCAATGCCGGAGTAGACGGCGACGCCCCATTTGAGGGTCTGGTAGCACTCGATCATGTGGAATTGATCGTGGTAGAAGACCTGGTTCGTCATCGTGCTTGGATCCACACACGGAACACCTCTCGATATCAGGTATCCGTAGTGCTCCCCGAGATGCCGGTTGTATGCTTTCGGCAAGTCGTAGTCCTCTGCCGGGGCGTTTCCGACAACCACTAATTCGGCTATGTCGGATCGGGCTCGCAGCTCAATCAACCGCTCGACACCCGCTCGTACTCGGGATAGTTGAGCGTACGGCCAATCGGCTGCGACCTTCCGGTCCGCCTCGGTTTTTAGGAATCGTTTTTGGTTGATCCATTTACAGCCGGCGTAGCCGTAGTCCCCATAGACATCATTGCCACTCCAGGGGACGATTACGACTACCTTCCGGCTCGGGTTGCCGTTCTTCTTGTTGTGCTCGGCCATCTCCTGCAGCTCTTCCTCGATTGCCGGCACAATTCGATTCAGGCCACGGCCACATTCCACCCTCGAGCGGATTCGGGTACACCATGCCATAGAATCTTGATTCAGAAACTGGGCCAAATCCATTCTCGTGATTTCAGGCTCAATCATTGGTCCGATGAACTTTTGACGGATGACAGCGAAGGAGCTATCACCACAAATAAGCAAATCGGCTGAGCCTTCCGGCCCGCTCGACAGCTGCGCCAATAGGCACTCCGGCACGCGCTCCATCAAGTCGGCGATCTCACCGAACGATCCCTGAGCGCTGCCACCTCCGAGCGTTCCGCGGATGGCTACCCCAATCGGCTGGCGAATGGAAGCCAAACGGCGGACGTGAGCCTCGGGATCCTCACCGAATGCCACCTTCACACAGGCAGCACGAAGGTCAGTGGAGACCTTCTCCCACGCCGCAATGCGATCGCGGACAGTGGGCATCACATCGGCCTCCACCTGCGGCACAAAGTTCACAGCCATGTGCTTCATGTCGGCAGGACCAAACAAAGTGGCGACACAGCAAGTCGAGATAGCTTGAGAGCTCTGAATGCGGCTACGAAACGCAGCATGAATGGCGTCTGTCATGATATAAGTGTATGATTGAGTCTCTCTCAAGAACTTTCCTCTTCCTTCGGCATGTTGAATGTTGCAGCTACATTGAAACTCGCTCAAAGCCTTACCTATGCCTTCATGAGTGGTAGCAACTGTCCAAGGCTTCTTAATAGGGAGATTATCCTTGCCCTTCAGCCCCACAGCGCACCCATCGAAGTGGTATGACACGAGACAGAGTTTATCGATCAGCTTTCTGACTTTGGGTAAGCCCCAATAGGTGCATCCCCTCGGCCATTCAATGGCAACATGGACCTTGGGAAGGACTGACAGAAACTCGACCAAACTTGTCCATAGGACAGCAAATTTCCTACGATGCTGCTTTACTTTCCGGCTTCCGGTTGGGTGGCGTAAGTTGATATACGTCCACGGAGTGCCCCCCGTGCAGGGTAGGCTAACCCAAACGAGTACAGATTCCACGCCGTGGGCTTGAATGTGATGCTTGACTTGGGCGATTATGAGCCTTCGATTGCTGCTACTGTTAAAGTCGAATTCTTCAGTAAACTGCAGCACCCTGCATCCCTCAGCAGCAGATCTATTCCTATCACTTAGCTTTGAGTCTTGATCACAACATACTTCGACTAGCATTCTCTGAGCGTCAGACACGGCGTGCGCTTCCGCCACGCTTGGCTTCGCTGGAGTAGATCGTACCTGCGATCGGCCAATGGGCAGTTTGTCACGAATGGACAGCAGTTTCAACGCCGTACCCCACTTCTCGGAGTTCGTGAAAGGCTTCGTAAAGATATCGGCTGCTTGAAGAATGGTTGGGCCGTGAACCAACCGGTACCATTTACGTCTGAACTGCTCCTCAAGCCACGAGAGGTTGACTCTCTGTGTTTTGTCGGTGTGCCTAAAAGCTGCAAAGATGGGCCCCCCTAGTTAAAACACTTGTAACTTACTTGGTGAAGTTACAAATTACTTAAAACTAAGTTAGCCGGAGGGCTTCGTAAGTAAGATGTAACTTAAATGTAACTATTTTTAAGTTCTATAAGTTCTAATTGGTGATTTTTGATGTTCAAAAACTATGTTTTTTCAGGTTTCCCAATAGCAAGGCCCAAACCGAAGGACATCGAACAACTATGCTTTTTACCTGGGAAAGCGCTGCTGTTGCAAGGGTTTTTAATGTAGAACACTCACCGCGCCGCTTTGCTGAAGAAAAGCAAAAAGCAACACAAAAAAAGCAAAAAATGCGCTTCGAATTTCTTCGGTGGACCACCACCGCGCTAAAAGAAAAACACTTTCTACTTTAAACCATCAAAGCGCGTAAGAAAAACAGAACACACACAATGACCTACATCTGTGTGTTAGGAACACGCTGGGCGGTGGTCCGTCCAAAAAATTGAAGGCGATGGTCCGTCCAAAAAATTGAAGGCGGTGGTCCGTCCAAAAAAGTTGATGGCGGTGGTCCGTCCAAAAATTTTGATCGCGGTGGTCCGTCCAAAAAGTTGTGGCCGGTGCCCAAAAAACGCGGTGCACCCTGATGAACAAGAGGCTATATGTACAGTACATGTACGGTAGATGTACGGTAGATCTGCCGTACATCTACCGTACATCTACCGTACATTACCGTACATTCCCGTACATCTACTGTACATATAGCCTCTTGTTCATCAGGTTACATCAGATCTTTTGAGGGACTGTGTGTGTGTGCGTCTTGTGATGCGTCACGGACAGGCAAGGATCTACTCCTCAATTTTGGGGCGTGATCCAGCTTAATGGCTTCTAGTTGTTCCATGGCCTACATAATGGATTCGTTACACTATATTCTACTACGTGTGCGTGTTGCATATTTATGTGTTTCTGTGTGCAAAGTACTACTCTGTCATACGGGTGGACCACCACCCCACAAATTTTTCACGACTAAAACATAAAAAACAATCGCGCCCATAAAAACAGAAAAAATGTTTCCAAAACAACACAAAATACAAAGATTTGCTAATCAGTCTCAGTTCTACACAAAAAAGAAGAGTACACCAAAAAGCATTGAAAAACGCTTCTCTGCAAACCCGTCCACAAAAAACATAGTTTTTTCAATGCAAAAACCTAAGTTCCCTAAGTAAGTTGTAAGTGATTTAGCACTAGTTTAGCACCCTCCAACATAAACTAGGATAACTTACTTATATATATCGAAAGTAATTTGTAACTGCAACGTAAATACCACCAAGAACTTAGAACACTTCACAATCTTAGACCAGCTTACAACATCAGTTAACCCATGTTATAACATATGTTACGGCACTTTACAAGTTCTCCAACTAGGGGGGCCCATCTTTGCATGGGGATTTGCCCGATTCGAGGATTCGGATCGTGGCTTGATTATCCTCAATGAAGACACCTTCGATCGATTTGGGAGCGAACAGGGTAAGGTCTAGGGATCCTTCACGTTCCATGCCAAGGAATTCCCAATCAGTTAGCGATTCACGGATCTCTTGTGACTCCACCTTATAGTCAACGTCATTTGGGCCGTATACCCGAAATAAAGTCTTTCCCTTCCATTCCCCCCGGATTGGGTAGTCACCCTTGGACTTCCAATTGTCCTGCTTCAGATCAAGGTTTCCCTTGTCATCGATCATAAGGGTGGTTCTGGCCAGTCCGAGACGGTTGATTGACACGGGGCATGGCTTCGAGTCGTTCGGCACATATAAGTGAGATCTGGGTTTTACATGGACCCTACTCAAACATCTTCGTAATGGTTCATATATCCAGTAGTCTCCATCCTTATCGGGCTCTGTCCTCACTCTCTCTTGCGGCAAACTTTCCAGCTTGCTTGAAGATGAACGCGATTTGGAGGGTGTGATTCCCCCCGCCTGCTGGAGGTGTGCCCATAAACCGGAGGAAGGAAGACCGACAGAGCGGAGGGAGACATTTGCTGAAACAACTTCGGGTCCGACAAGTACTGGAACACAACCGCTAGTAGACCTGCTATCATATTCACCTGCATGGTCCGCATCGGCAAAAAGCCATAGTCGACACTCACTGACATCGTCTCCAATGAAACAATGCATCTTGTAGTCAACAGTTGAATTGATATAGCATATCAGTCTATGTAACGCTTTGTCACAATCGGTGGACCATTTGGTTACCCGAGCTGCGAGGCCCTGCACCGCCCGGAGTAGATCAAAACGGGCCATGCGTGCAGCGAAGAGCACTTTCATGAGGACTCTCGTTGCGATGGGTGCGAGGACTCCTGGCTTCTCCTCTCCTTCCACTGTGGGACGAGCGATACGCTCCTCATGGAAAGGAGTGGCAACCTTGCGCAAAGACTGAGCATTCTTTCCTGCCAGCGCGACATACCGGTCGACACATGACTTCAGGAAAGGTTCCATATCATAAGTAACAACAGTGACTGGTTTGGTCATACAAGCGTTGGTATTATGAAGTTGGTCTAAGTACGAAAAGTTCTGACTTCTTGCGGCTTTCTTTGCACTACCCTTGTCGCGAGTGACTCCAGCAAGAGCAAGCTTTGGGTCACCGCATAGTTTGGTGAATAGATAAGTGACACCCGTCCATAATGATGGTGTTCGTTTCCTGTCAGTGATGTGATCCCATTGAATCTCGGCTCCGCCTTCCGGCGCGCACTCATCAAAGTACGTGCAACGGACATTGGACAGACCTAGTTCTTGTATCAGGGACTCTTCAGGTACAAACATTTGTTTTCTGGGTTGGACGTGGTGTCTTGCGTAAACAGGACTATCAGGATGATGTTCCCAAAAATCTTGTGTTCTGTGAACTCCTGCCGCGGCAGTCTTTGCGGCGGGATCTGGAACTCGTTTGTCGAACACGTGTGCAAATGGATGTGCCTCTACTGGCAGAGTTACTCCCCGCTTGTAGATGTGTTCACACCCCAAGTATCTCCCGACAGGTCCCGGGGTGTCGAGGTCAATCTTGGAGGCGATCAAGCTCCATCCTTTCCGCAACGAGTCTTTGGGCCCAGACATCTTGAAGTCGTCAACATAAACAATGAGCAATAAACGAAGACTAGCATGGAAGAACACCGATGGCCAACCCTCAGGATCAGGCATGGCGAATCCAACGGCTACTAACATGTCCGTACAGTGCTGCTCCCATAGCCCCCCGGAGTCAGGGTGTCCATAGAGTGCGATGCGAAGCCTACAGGCAGGTCTGTCATATTTTCCTACCCATGACTTAGGCCAACGGTCCCTGGGGAGTTCAACCCATGTCTCAACTCCCTTCATGAGAGCTTGTGTGTAAGCTTGCTTGCCATCTGCTTGCTCAGTTGTAAATCCTGGCTGTGCCCCGTAGGCATCAACAGCTTTGCCCGCTTCCATTGTCGCGGGGGATGACCCGAGTTCGCTAAACAAAGCAACATCGCTGTTTTCATCCCGCACATTATTCCCTTGGAAAACCGTGCGGCCTTTAAACTTGCGAAGTTCATGTCCCGGGGGCAGTTCGCTACCTTTCTCAACACAGATCTCGAACACTTTCCCTATGTGGACCTTCTTGCCTTGTTTCTTGGCCTTTGAAGCTACATCCTTCCACTCTTGAACCGTGTCATAAAGCCATGCATCTTTCTTCTCCAACTTCACCCATTCGACATCTAGGGATGCTTGTGCTTTGGGGTTCGACCTTATTTCCTTCCGATTGACTGGTCTGGCAACGAGAGTGTTGATTGCCTTCTCGCCCTGAAGCCTACCAACCTTTATGAGCTTGTCACGATGTCTCTGTACGCTGTACCCGCAAACGGGCATCTTGGGAACATCTTCGGCATCCTGCGATGGTGATGATGATCCGGCGTTCCCTTCCGAGACGCGAACAACAGCCCATGTTTCGGAGTGTTAGGCAGTGTAGCCATGTCAGCAACTCTAGCTAGTTTCTTCTGCTCTTCTGCGATTGCAAGTCTCCGTTGCTTCACCGACATTGATTGCCACACAAAGGATGGAATGTCCTTGGGTTTGCTGGATCCCTGATATCTTCTGGTCTTGAACCCCCCGCGTCATAAAACTTGGGGTCATCGCTACGAATCATTTCTGCTTTGCTGGTGTATGGGTTAAAGACTTCAATCTCAGAAGGAGCCGGCAATGTGCTCGGTGTTGCATCCGGGGTTTGCAAATTAAGTTCATTCTTCGACAGAATAGTTATAGTGGCACCGACCACCTCAAGCAATCCGTCCATTGACCTATCCCATGGATGTATGAGTGCATTTGATTCTACAACATGCCATGATTCCTCATCGGAGTGCATAAGAGTGGTCCTATAGGAGTATTGCTCGGTGTTTACTTCTGCACGAGGGTCGAGGAACTTCCCCTCACAGGGGCTGCACTTGACCTTACATTCGGCGTAGTCACACCATCCATCACTGATTCCGCTTCCGATGAAAGCTAACCAGCCCTGATTCCAGACTGCTCGGGCACCAGATCCTCGGAGAACTGGTCCCTTCGGAAGAATGGTGTCCGATGTCTCAAGTGTTTCCGCCTTTGGGTTTGGGACGGCACTCTCGACAGCATCTTGGACTTCAAGGACTGTTTCGACTTCCTCTTCGGCCGCGTCAGTGATCTCTCCTCTTCGAACCATTTCCTTGCGATCCTTCAGAGGGAAGGTGAACGGTTCAGGTACGTCGATGCGAATGACTCTTTTGATCTGATGCATATCCTCGTATTTATCTGCTTTGGCCGACTTGAGATCAACTACGAAATATTCTGTCCTCCATTGAAACCCTGGGTGAACGATGTAACCAACGAAGACCCCTGCACTTGATGTGGGATCGAACCTCAGCTCATCTTTGGGTTTCTTTTTGGGACCATTCCAGTAGTTCACCATGCACCCAAAAGGCCAACACTTAATAGGTGATTGTTCCCCGAATCTCAGCTCCCATGGAGAGGCAGTTCCATCCAGAGCATACAGATTGTTGTTCATGACGCACCAGTGACGTGCAGCATAAGGCCAAAATCCGTGGTTGAGACCGGATTGCAAGAGGTTCACACGAGTTCCTTCAAGCACGGTTCGGATCGACCTTTCCGCAACGGCATTACTGGTGGATATGTATGCCTTTGATAGTACATGTCTCCACTTCAGCTCTTTCATGGCATTGATCAATTCAGGAGCGTTGTCGGAATAACAAATTCCCACTTCATCATCTTTCGAAACAAAGTGTTTCATAGCCAAGATGACTGATTCGGCACTCTTTCTAGCACTGGGATACACATACATGAAGTTGGAATTATATGTCTTTGACAATCAATGCACACTTCTCTTCATCGATTCCCATTTCATATTCATGACCGGTAATGAGAAAATCACATGTAATGTGGTCACCGAATTTCTTGGCGTCAACTATTGAGGACCCGTCTTGCCGATATGATGGAGGCTTAGCCATTTTTGCTTTGTTGCAAACGTCACAATATGGGTTCTTGGGGTGATGGCTCACAAGATGCCCAAGTGATTTGGCCTCTCTCTTCAACAATGATATCCCCTTTCCCAGATTCCTGTCCAAGTTGCCTTCGGCAGGTACCTTCGGAACATCATCATCAACATCATCCATCGGCGAGACCTTCCGGTCCGCACTGCCCTTCGGTGCTTCTTTCTCTTTCTCCGGCGTAGCCTTCCGGCCCGCTTCATCCTTCTCTGGGCTCTCTTTCAACACATTCATCCCGTCATCACCCGAGGCCGATGCCGGTTCAGCAGGAACAGCTGTACCACGTCCAGGAGCTATGGGATGAAGAGACGTAGGAGCCAATGTGGAAGACGAAGTCGAGCGGGGCCGATCGATTGGATTGGGAGTACACGGATTGGCATTTGACTTGGCCCTGGCAGGAATGTAGGGGACGTAATCCCTGACCACGAGCTCTATCTTCTCTCCGTCCGGCTTCCTAAAATAGGGTGGTTTGCCGGATCTCCAAATGAAATCATAACCTTGATCAACGCATCTCATTCCGACAGACATGACCGGTGGTGTCGACTCGAGCAAATACGGATCAAACCTACAACTCAATGTGTCGTTATACACCTTGGCCTGAAGGTTCGACGAACTATGACCATTAGCTGTGATGATAGCAATCGGCCGGTCCGATCGATATTGGAATTCACCAGGGATGTCATGTCGGGTCAACAGGTCCTGAGCGCTTCCGGTGTCTGCGATCCAGTCCTCATGCGAATGGTGGAAGTATTTGACCTCCCTCGGAGAGGACGCGGGCAATGCAACAATATCAGCAGGAATGCACGAGTCACAACCTAGGTCTGAGTCACACATGTACCTACAGTCTGTTTTGATACCCTTCAGCCAACCGGACACTGCTCCCTGAAGCATGCGTGCTGTCAAGATCGAATCATCAACTGCTTGAACGTTGGGCTTGGTCTGATAGCTTGCTGGGAAAGTCTTCTTCGGTTTAGATGGTTCCGAAACAAAAGGATCAAGCCTGCCCCATGCATGAATCCTAGTGATATCGGGCTTGAGGTTAAATGACACCCCTGGACATGCAATATGTGGCTCGCCTTCCCAGGCCGCCTGGCTCTTATTGAAGTTGATCCCAATCTGATCCAACATGGATGTTGGGCCGCTCAACGAGAGGCCATCGACGACGGATGCGAGCATCGATGCAACCAGACATACTGCTGCGGGAGTGGACTTACCTGCACTGCCCCTCGAACCACGAGAACCCTTTGAGGACCTAGAGCCTCCAGACTTACGCGAACCACTGGAGCCCCTCGACTGAGATCGGTCTCCCTTCTTCTTTCGACGTTTGTCTTTCTTGCTCTTGTCACTCTTCTGGGAATCTCGTGAGGGCGATCTCGCAGGAGTTGCCTTCCTGGGTCGTTGCTGACCTTCATGGGAGAATTCACACTTGTCCCCTCGCTTACAGCGTCCAGCCTTCCAAAACTTGCACGCAATCTTGGAGGTGTCCCGTTTCTCCTTTCCTCTGGACTGGGAGCGCCCCCTAGGACTCTTGGTGGCACTCTTCTCCCGTTTCTTGGGAACTTCATGCTTAAATGGGCAGTTCTCCTTGCTACAACCCCCTTTGTTCCACTGAACACAAAACCCCCTGGGGATGAATGGTGTGCGCGCGTCGGCCGCAGGGGCGGACGTCTTGGCACCTCCAACACTAGCGGCAATCCGTCCCCGATTGTCTTCTAGCCTTTCCCTCATGAGATGTCTGCGAACAGCGTCATACAGGAATTGATAGCAGTGCTTTGAACTTCCCTCTTCGGCCCGGTGGTACTCCTCAATGTCATGGGCGATTGCCCTGTGATTCTTCACTTGTTGGTAGAATAGAGTTTCCAAGACTGTGGTTTCAGGCAAATGAGTGACACCGGTAGTGACTGAATCCCAGTTCGTCAAGAAAGTCTTGAGATTGTCGCCCTTCATTTTCACATTGAACAGATCACTGAGGGAATAGGTGGCTCCATGTTTGATATTAGTGCTGAAGTATTCATGCATCATGAGTAACACCTGTCTCCCCCGTACTGGACGATCTTTCTGGGACTCCTTCTCCTTGAACGTGTCAACCTTGCGTGCGAATTCACCTGTGGCGATGGACGACAGTGCGGCGAGGAGCTTGGCATCAAGGGTAGTGAACCCGTCGGGACTTGCCAGACCTTCGATAGTTTGACCTTCAATCCAGACCTTGTTGATCCATGAGAACGCTTTGTCAGGCTTGGACGATGCGGCCCTCACCGCGTCCCTCACCCTGATTTTCCAGTTGCGATAGTTCTCAGGTTGTGGAAAAGAAGGTATCTTGATATGGTCAGCTTCCTTCGTGGATATGGTTCTATTCTTTCCCCCCAATATCTGTTTGAGCTTCCTCATAAGAGCCTTGTCTGTCAATTCATCGTCATCATCGTCAAACTCATCTCCTCCGTCTGGGTCGCTGTCATCCCCCGGAGGTCCAGGTGGTCCACCCCCCGACTTGGGAATCTTGAGAAGCGGAATGCCTGGACGCCCAGGATTACTCGGGTCACCTGATGAACGACCTCCACCAGGATTGTCTCCTCCCCCTCCTGGCGGTCCACCACCACCATTACCTGGCCCGCCCCTTCCGAAGTTGCCCGACAATGCATGTGCTGCTAATGACCCGTACCCATCATTCCATGGACTCACCGGTTGGAAAACTGCAGCGTTAGGGGAAAATACGCTTCCGGGTTGAGACTTAAGGGATGGAGTACCGAACAATTCAGCAGTTCTTAGTGATCTAACATCATCGTGCTGGGACAAACCTGCAGGTGGTGCCTCATGCACTGGTATGGACTCACGAAGTTCGGCAGCTCCTTCCGGAACGCCCGGCGCATCATCCTTCCGTTGCTTCATTTCGCGAAGCTCCTTCAGGAGTTGTGCCTGGATTGATTCCGTCTCAGTTAGCCGCCTTTGCAAATCCATAGACGCTTGTTGTTGCTGTGCCAAGTTCATCTCGAGGGATGAGACCTTCTGACTCTGAACCATTTCGATTCCAGCGATATGCTGACGGTGATTCATGGACATTTCCATGAACTGAGTCTGAGCCTGCTCTTGTAGTGTTTGATATCCAGCTTCGGCTGCGGTGATGAATAACTTCGCCTGGACCCTCATCTCCTCATGTTCAGAGAACGCTTCATCAGCCTCGTTTCGGAGTCTCTGTGCTGCGAGCATTAGTTCTGCTCGTTGCCCCTCAAGTTGCTGATTTTGTGTGGCCTGGCGCATCATCTCCGCGAGTACAGCTGGAGGCGTGCTCACAAAGGAAAAATTAGCCTGATTGAACACCGGCGCGGTGTTCCCACCCGCTCCCCCTCCGTCAGTTGACATGTTGGATCCTCCGTCTGGTGTGAACGAGACGCCCGGGTCCATCAACGGCAGATGGAAAGCGGCGGGGTTTCCACCCGCGCTCTCACGCCCATCCGCACCACTGTACGGCGCAGCCAGCCTCGCGAGGGCCCCTGGATCCAGAGATAAGTCCATGGCTGCGAATGACGCGGGAGCAATACTACGGGCCTAAGGCTATACGGCTGATAACCTATGTTTACAGGATAGCAGGCAATCACAAGTAACCCTGGTAGAAGTCCACGACGGCGTGAACCGGCGCAGGGGGGATTTGATCCAGGGGGGGGGGTGAAAGAGTGACTAGGGCGTACACGGTAGAGGTGCAGACCGCTAGTGTCTTTTATGCGCAGAGTCTTATCCTCTTGCTCTTTGAGCCTTGAAGCAGTCAAGCATGGACACACTATATCAGCTGTTGGAGTGGAACCCTGTACAGGTAGGCTCTACTTTTCAGCAGGCACAAGATTCATGTCCACTTCTAGCTGATTGCGTATGTCGCATACTCTTTTCCTACTGCAAGGCTAAAACAGTCCAGCTAGCTCTGACAACTTAAAAGAAAACTACGGTGCCATGTACTTATCTAATCCAGTGTGTTTCACACTTTGGAGAAGATAATCTCATAGCTACTAAATACAGTGAGGGAGCAATAGCTGACTCACCTCAAGTACAAAATCAAAACGATAATGTACCTCGGCTGGAGACTGTACTTTTCGCAGGCGGAGATACCATGTACCGGCGCTCACTAGCTCTTTATGGCCTGAGCTAAATCAAACTAAAAAGGGAAAGCGGCTTTTTCTCTACAGAGACCTATAAAAGAATCAAACGACACTCGCGTAACAAAGAACTAAAAATTCAAGACCGCACAAATTGCAATGAATTAGGATGCCTTGCAAAATGCAAGGAGCGTACGGTCCGAGGAATAATCTTCTCGTGACGTGGTCTCGACCGCTTTCATTCACAGACAAAATAAAACTGCATCAAAAGGACTCTCTTTCACATTCACATCAAAAACACAAGAAGGAGATACCGGCAAATGTATGTACAAAAATTTTGCACTACAATTGCAAATCATGAAATGACTTAATCATCAACCATGACTGGTTGTCCATTAGAGGTCACTTCATAAGAGCGATGATGATAGATATCATCAGTTATGTAAAACTGTCCATACCTATCTACATGCTAAAGCGTATAAACCTGGAATGCAGGAGTATCTTCTTTGATAAAAAGTTTCTCCTGGTTGCAAACCAGAGTTCATTAAAACTTCAGCCTGGAAACTTAAAGTCAAGCCTGGAAGCAAAGTATCAACTGTAACCAGAAGTATCTTCACTTCCTAGCCATCATTTAAATTTCAGCCTTCGCTCAGGAATTATGCCGCTGCAAACGATGAAGTTGCTTGATCAGAAGTTGGCGGCCTTCCTTTCTTTCTATTCTGCTTCTGTCTCTCCTTCCTCCGCAAGTTCGACTCATGAAGCGTTGCTCCCATGCGATACTGTCTTCTGTCTCCAGATGAAAAGGAAGCTGGTCTGAGTGAAATAAACATTGGACCATGACTGTCCTCGTCAGTGGGCCTTGAGCACATAACCTCCGTGTCAATCATAGCAAAGTTCTCTGAAAAATTACAGATGAACTCCTTCGTGCTCACTGTGGAATTTTCATATTCCTCTTCACTCATTGAATGACCCCATTCAACAATGGTAGACAAACATGTATCGCCAAGCTGTGATCCTTGGTATTCTTCTTTTTCAACCGTAGAATATTCTTCCCAGAGTTTATCAAAGTAACTTCACACTTCTTGAGGACCTGTGAAGTTGAACTGTAAAATGTTCTGGGAATAGGTGCTTTGATACCAGGATCTGCTTTTACACGAGCTTCTGAAAACCTGCGGATCCAATGCTGCATGGTGCTGTAATAGTAGTTAGCCATTGGCTGCCTTTTGTACCCAGACATTCTGTAGGCCAAACTATTTGCATCACCAGAAATGATGTCCACCTCATAGACAAAACACTCGTAAAGCATCAATGCTGTCTGTTCTCCTGTCAGTAGGTGGGCATCTACAGCACGGTGTGTATCAACATGATAATTACAGACTCTGATGGTATGCATGTTCGCTCGAGTGAGTGGAACACGCTTGTCCTCCGGACCATAGTCATCAAATTCAAAGTCTGCATCCTTGAAATCTTGACGAGGCCTTGTTTCTCCAAAACAAATCTCGTAGATAGCCCAAGTTACATCACGCTGTTCACAATGACCAAGTTCTTGATCATGTCCAGCAATGATCTTGACATATCCACCTGGTGCCAATCTGGCCATCACTGCAAGATTCTCCCAATCATTGAAACAAACTGTCCAATTCTTTTGCTCAATAAATTCCTTGGCAGGAACAAGAAGATGAGCTTCCTGGAGAATCACGACATGTGCACGTAAAAAGAAAAGCATGTTGAAGAAAAGATTGTTCTCCAATTGCTCATTCTGAAGTGACATGGCGCTCTGTTTGCGTGGCCTCATTGCACTATCAAGTCCTTGGAGAAACCTTGGTGTGGTGTACTTTTGACCACGAACCATGTTGCCATAGTTCCAGGATAAAAATGTCAAGGACTCTGAGCTGGCCAATAAATTAGTTCCATATGGTTCTTCTATTCTTCCTTTGAGGAACCTTCTGCACAGCTCTTCATAGAAGGTGACAAAGTCCCAACTGGGTCCCTTGGGACCATATGATTCCAGTTCCTTCTTAAGTTCCTTCTTCGTATCCTCCAATTCTTCTCGAGCATGTTCTGCCCTTTCAAGGGCCTTTGGATCGACCTGATAATAGCCATCCAAATAAATGATGCGATCATCATTGATGAAGAATCTCTTCAAGTCATGCTCTGGTTCATGTTCATAACAATCAGGTGGAGGTACTGGACAGACATTTCGAATGGATCGAACAAAATCATCCTCGTTGATCCTCGACTGATAATGAGGATGGGAAATCTCACCTTTTCTGAAACAAACATGATTCAGCAATCTTGCATGAGTTTCCCTGAAGCATAGTTGATAAAAGCCAATACCTGGATCTCCTGTAAGCTCTCCAAGCAACTTCAAAGGTGAAGTATGTAACTCATAGGTATTGTCAGCTTTTGTTGTATCCTTTTCAGCAACTACTTCAGATGGAAAAGATTCTTGGATTTCAGCCTCCAATTTCTTCTCTCCATCATCCTCTCTGACCTCTTTTATTTTCTCCACCGCCTCTTTCTTCTCTTCCATGGTTGCATCATCCTGAACTTCTTCATGAAAATGAGGATCAGGAATCTTATTCAGGCGGCTTTTCTTAGATTTCCGCTGACCTGAAGTATCATCAAGGTTAGCATCCATCTCACCTGATGGTAAGTGCGATGCAGTCGAGTCCTCACCTATCTCTCTTGACAGAAAGTGTGGTGTTGACTCTTCCTTGGCTTCCTCCTGGTCCACTTCCATCTTTGGTTCCTCTGAAGGAAAAACACCTGCATCTTCATCAAATATTTCTTGTTCCTTTCCAGGTTCAACTGCAGGATCTTCTTCAGGAACTTCCTCTTCCATATTCTCATCTTTTAGAAGTGTTCTACTTCCAGTGTAGACTTCACCAGCGATAGTGGAGACTCTTGTATAAGGAGGAACTTCTTCACCTGCTTCAAAAGCTTGTTCTGCAACATCCTTGGTGAGCAAGTCCTCTACAAGATTTTCTCCCTCGGTTCTTGGAAGAGGTCCTGAGGTCTCATAAAAATCTGTCCTCTCTGAACTGAAAGCTTCTGTCGCCTTCTCATTGTCCTTTTGATCCCTGAACAGGTGAGTAATCTTCACCGCTTCTCCCTGTAGCACCTGATCACCTCCTCTATACTTGTCGACAATGGAGCGCCATACTGGAACATCATCATCATCAAAATCAAGCTCCATATCATCTGCCAACAGGTATGAGATGTTTTGAGCTGCCTGTTCTTCTTCTTCCTCACGTTCTTTGGCAAGCTCCTCATCCTTCTGGATCTTGAAGATACCCTTCAGGATGTCTTGTAGTACCTTTAAGTTCAGCTTCGATGATGGCTCATACGTCCCTGAACTTACAGGCTCAACTACAACACGAGAGCAAGAAATCGCCTCCAAAAACTTGGAATTGTATTGGCGTTCAAACTCTTCCTTCTTGATCATCTCATACAAGGGATCAGAAACTGCAACACGCGCCTGAACATACTCACGAAGTTGATAGCATGCATGTTGCACAAATCTACTGTTGGAGTTGTGAAGAAAACTCTCCAAATGATTCCTGTCACGGTCAATCAAATACCACACAATCCTTGCAGAAAAACGGAATTTCTTGAAGTTCATAGCAAAATGTGTATGATACTTCTCTGGATTCCTTTCTGCTTGTAATGCGGCCTCTGAAGTCTTGTAAGCTGGGAGATTTGTGTCTGGATCCAAGATCATAAACTCTTCCCACAAGATCGAGTGGTCAAGAACCCACTTGGGAAGCACCTTGATGAAAAAGTCACAAACAAGTTCTGACACAAGGTGCATGACACGACCAATCTCTTCCTCCTGCTTGAAGCGATAGTGCAATTTGGCAAACAAGGGATTGTTGAATGCTTCCTCCACTGTATTGCCAAAATTATCCCACTGAGGTTCTGGAATACCAAAGTTCCAACCCAGCAATTTGGGATCTCTGCACATATCCAAGAAGCTTGAAAGCTCTACAGAAGAAATGCCATGGTCTGTCAGAATTTCAGCCCAGCGGCGTCCATTCTCCCAAGCACGGATGAAGAAAAACTGTTGGTATCCAGTTTGTGCCAACTCCATCCACTGAGAAATTCCGGGTTCAAAACTCGGTGCATACGTCTTGGGGTCTTCCTCTGTTCCATAAACACTTGGACGTAGCAACTTGTATCTTCTACAAAAATATTCTCTCTGGTGCCTTGTCAACCTGTCCCAATCCCTCACGAGGATCACGTCTTCTCCAGTGCTCTGGAGTACACGTGTCCCTACACGATCATGGAGTGATACCATGCCAATGTCATATACCATCCATGGGTTGAGAACCAGGTTGTTGACATTCTGAATGAACCATGTCATCTCACGCTCAGCAACATGAGCAGAGTCATCTTCTTCATCTTGTTGAGGTTCTCCAGAAGTCC